TGCTTTTTTTTGTTTTTTTTTTTTTTTTGAGACAGAGTCTCGGCTTAGTGGCCCGGCTGAGTGGCGGCGGCGATATCGGTCGGCTACTGCAAGCTCACTCCCGGGGTTCAGGGCCTTTCTCCTGCCTCAGCGTCGCCGAGTAGCTGGGACTACGGGCGCCCGCGCTCGCCGGGCTAATTTTTTTGCATTTTTTTGTAGTAGGAGACGTGCGGTTACGTGTTTGCCGGGATGGTCTCGATCCCTGATCTCGGTTGTCACCGCCTCGGCCTCCAAAGTGGGCTGGGTTACAGGCGTGGCCACCGCGCACGGGCCTCGATGTTAAGTACCTATTTCAATAGGCGTAGTATTTGTTTTTTTTTTGAGTACTGGTCTCGCTTTTTCCCGGCTGGAGTGCGTGGCCGATCTAGCTCACTGCAGCTCGCTCGGTTCAAGCATTCGTCCTGCCTAGGGCCTCCCGGTAGGCTGGGGGATTCAGGCTGCGCGGGCCACCTCGCCGGTTGTTTGTTTTTTTGTAGAGTCGGGGGTTTCCGTGTTAGCCGAGGTGGTCTCGCTTCTGACTCGATCACCGTCTCGGGTCCTCCCAAAGTGCTGGGATTTACAGGGTGAGCCGCGCCCGGCCTTCACTAGGGCGGGGTGGGGGGGGGGGGGGGGCAATAGTTATTTGTCTAGACCTACACCGACCGTCTTTATACGTTATATTTTTTATTATATCACGTGCCTAAAATATTAAATTTCATTTCATCTTCCACAATGGCATTGGATGATGATTTTTTTCTTTATTTCGGATGGAGGGAGGGTAGAGCTGCAAGAATTTAAATAATTTGGGTGGATTAGGGAAATAGAGCTCGACTAGTTCGTACTAGTTCTACTTCAAGCCATCTCAGTACTATGTACACTACTCTAGGTCCACTATTTTCTTCTACTGTTGCATCTGAGGATTTTGGTGTCCTCGGGGGAGGTCCAGGAGGAACCAATCCCCTCAGATACCAAGGGACAATTGTACGTGGTAAACAATACATATTTGTTTTCTTCTTTGCTCCACTCAATTAATCATTATTTCAAAGTGTGGACCACATATGCCATCACTGAGTAACTGTGAGGAAGCAAGTGATTTTTCTCTTTTCTTTTTGAGACACAGTCTTTGCTCTGTTGCCCAGGCTGGAGTACAGTGGCATGATTTCAGTTCACCACAACCTCCACCTCCTGGGTTCAAGCGATTCTCCTGCCTCAGCCTCCGGAGTAGCTGGGACTACAGGTGTGTACACCACCATGCCCAACTAATTTTTGTATTTTTAGTAGAGACAGGGTTTCACTATGTTGGCCAGGTTGGTCTCGAACTCCTGACCTTGTGATCTGCCCACCTCGGCCTCCCAAAGTGTTGGGATTACAGATGAGAGCCACCGCATCCGGCCTGATTTTTCAACTTACACATATTTCAACCATCAATTTTTTGCTCTCAATTATATGAGACATTATTTTAATAGAAATAGAAATCAATGGGCAACTTACCTGTGGAAACCATCTTTCAAAACTTCTTGCCTCAAAATAATTTCAGAACACATGGCCCTTGTGCCTATAAGAGCCAAAAGATATTTTTAAAAAAATAAAAGCACTGAATAAAATAATATTTAAATAATTAGAAAAGAGTTATTTTAGTAGACTTTACTTGCCTAGAAAATCTAACCAACCTAAAAAAAAAAAAACTTCTAAAATTTAAGCAATTTGAGATATATATACTTGCGATATAGCACTGTGGTTAAGAACAATGACTCTGAAGTTAGATTGCCTGATTTCAAATCCCAGTCTGCAACTTAATAGCCGTGTCAACTTTGGGCAAGATAGTTTATCTCTCTACTAGCTGTCATAAGAATTTAATATATATGTAGAAGCACTTAGAACAGCAGTAAGAATACGTATTAAGTGTTCTATATAAGTGTTTGTTATTAATATTACTTTATTCAGGTGATCCCAAGATGCCAAAAAGGAACAGGACGGCTAAAGAGCCAGGAAATCTCCATTTTAGCCCTAGTTCACCGAAACTGTGTATCAGATAGATACATACTGGCAACTTCTATATTCTAACATCCATGCCTACAAAACCAGGAAAATGGTACATTTATGCCTTGTGGAGATGCTGGAAGGTTTAAAAAAAAAAAAAAAAGAAAGAAAGCTGGAGGCACTTAAAGCTTCAATGGGTTCCACTGTAAACTTAGAATAACCAGAAATCTCAGTACACTGACTTCATCCAGACTCCAGACATTCAAGCTGTTACTCAGAGCCAGGTGTGCCAGCGTGCACCTGAGGTGGGAGGATTGCTTGAACCCACGGGATGGGGACTGCAGTGAGCTACGATTACACCACTGCACTCAAGCCTGGGTGACAGAGAGAGACCTTGTCTCTAAACACAAAAAAAGAAAACTATTACTCAATGTAAGCATCTTAAAACTCAAAATTCAGTTACTATTGACCAGCAACTCTGCCAGGCATTTGCTATGGAACTTTGTCCCATTTTAAAAGCTGTAAATCTGTGGGAAGAACATTTAAAAAACACACAAGCCTGGACAACATAGCAAGACTCCATCTCCATTAAGAAAAATACAAAAATTAGCTACTTAGGAGGCTTAGGTGGGAGGATGGCTTAAGGCCAGGAGGCAGAGGGAGGCTGCAGTGAGCAGAGACTGTACCACTTCACTCCAGCCTGGGTGACACAGCCAGACTTTGTCTCAAAACAAAACAAAACAAAACCAACAAAACACATACACACACAGAAAACTATATATTACTATATATTATTTGCATAATCCTGTTATTATCGTTGCATATTGCTGAATCCATTCGATGTATTTCTGAAAAGATATATTAAGAAAAACGATGCGGGCCGGGCGCGGTGGCTCAAGCCTGTAATCCCAGCACTTTGGGAGGCCGAGACGGGCGGATCACGAGGTCGGGAGATCGAGACCATCCTGGCTAACACAGTGAAACCCCGTCTCTACTAAAAAATACAAAAAACTAGCCGGGCGAGGTGGCGGGCGCCTGTAGTCCCAGCTACTCGGGAGGCTGAGGCAGGAGAATGGCGTGAACCCGGGAGGCGGAGCTTGCAGTGAGCTGAGATCCGGCCACTGCACTCCAGCCTGGGCGACAGAGCGAGACTCCGTCTCAAAAAAAAAAAAAAAAAAAAAGAAAAACGATGCGAAGGTGAAACTATCTGAAGGAATGAGAAAAGAATAGAAAAAAATAACATTTTTAAAATACTTGATGCTTTCGTATGTGTTTTAACTTTCACAATCTATAGCAAAATAAGCAAAATTACTGCCATTTGTTTGCAGGAGGAAACTTGAACTTCTAAAGCATTAGTAAATGGCCCTGGGTCATACAACTAGCTACCTGACCGAATAGAAGAAAGGTATGCCTGACTTTTAAAGCCTAAAATACTTCCACTTTCAACACTAAAATTGAAAGAGATTTTAGTGTTACAGCTCTTTTAGAATTTGTCTAGTTACATTTCACTGGAAAACCTCCAACCCTCAAAAAAGAAATTGTATTTGCTTTGGAGAAGCATATGATCTTTTCCCAAATAAACAAATCCCCAAATCCCATATGTATCTTATACTAATCCAGATTTTTTTTGTTCTTTTTTTATTTTTATTTATTTTTTTATTTTTTTGAGACGGAGTCTCACTTTGTCGCCAGGCTGCAGTGCAGTGGCATGATCTCGGCTCACTGTAACCTCTGCCTCCCGGGTTCAAGTGATTCTCCTGCCTCAGCCTCCGGAGTAGCTGGGACTACGGGCACCCACCATCACGCCCAGCTTAATTTTTGTATTTTTAGTTAGAGATTGGGGTTTCACCGTGTTAGCCAGGCTGGTCAGATTGCTCGTTGAACCCTGGTGATCTTGGCCACGTCTCGGCCTCCAGCAAATGCCAGGATTGAAGGCGTGTGGCATACGCAGCCCAGCCAGGCTTCTACCTCTAAAAAAAGAAGCAGGAGCCAGCGTCGTGACTTATGCCTGCAATCCAGCACTACTGAGGGCGAGGGCGGACAGATCACAAGGTCAAGAGTTGGAGACCGCATGGCTGGCCCAAACCATGGTGAACTCTGTCTTTACCAAATACAAAAAATTAGCCAGGGTGTCGGTGGGGTGCACGTAGTTCCCAGTACTTGGAAGGCTGAGGCAGAAGGCAATCGCTGAACCTGGAGGGGAGGTTGTAATGAGCCGATATCACGCCAGCCGGCACTCCAGCCTGGCAACAGAGCGAGAACTCCGGTCTCAAAAATAAAAAAAAGAAGAGAGACAGGCCTTACTCTGCTCACAAAAGCTGCAGTGCGAGTGGCATGATCACAGCTCAGCGCAGCCTTGGAACCTCTGGGCTCAAGCAATCCTCCTACGTCAGAGCCCCCAAGTAGCTAGGGTTACAGGGGCCCAACGCACCCACCACCTGGCTACTTTTACATTTTTTGTAGAGACCAGTCTTGCTACGGTTTTCCAGGCTGGTCTTGAACTCTTGGCCTCAAGCAATCCTCCCACCTCCAGCCTCCCAATGTGTTAGAATTTCAGGTGTGAGTCGGCTGTAACCCAGCACAAATCCAGATTTCCCTTCTAATCATGTTTAATTTTAACAGGGGTAGGGTGGGAAGTGAGGGCTACTATCCAACTATAAATTAAATTAGAAGAAAAATTATTAACAGGTTTAAATTCTATCGGTATGTACACCAGACAGCAGTTGATCACTGGGACCGGAGAAAGGCTAATTTACAAATAGTATAGCAAATACTAGAATATTATGACTTTAAAGGCAAAAGTACCACTTTTAAAAAGAATTTGTTGGATATGAATTTACCTTCATTTTTCCTCTTAAATATTACTTTGGTTGTGGTGAACTGGCTCTGGAAATTGACTTTTTTTTTTTTTTTTTTTT